TTGTTATCCAGTATCTGTAGGACTACAAGTCTCAGCATTGTTATCCAGTATCTGTAGGACTACAAGTCTCAGCTTTGTTATCCACTGTCTGTAGGACTACAAGTCTCAGCTTTGTTATCCAGTATCTGTAGGACTACAAGTCTCAGCTTTGTTATCCAGTATCTGTAGGACTACAAGTCTCAGCGTTGTTATCCAGTATCTGTAGGACTACAAGTCTCAGCTTTGTTATCCAGCATCTGTAGGACTACAAGTCTCAGCTTTGTTATCCAGCATCTGTAGGACTACAAGTCTCAGCTTTGTTATCCAGTATCAGTAGGACTACAAGTCTCAGCTTTGTTATCCAGTGTCTGTAGGACTACAAGTCTCAGCGTTGTTACCCAGTGTCTGTAGGACTACAAGTCGAACTATTGTCATGTAATGTGTATAGAAGTAGACATATTCTTTCCCTCAGAAAAGGGGAACTGTAGAGAAGACAGGCCTCCTCTCTCCCTGCTCTGTGTAAACATGCACACTTCCGCTCCTCCTCGTTGTTGTGGCTGACTGTGGTAAAGGATGCAGGGGGAGGCTCTTCCTAGGGTTATGCGGGCGTGTCAGGAGTCCTGAGAGAACGAATCCTTCTACTACAGGAAGGGAAATTCCACTTCCTCCATCTCTGTTCTGGTTCGTCGCAGATCGTTTATGAACTATCATGGCAGCGCCCGTTCTTAGCCAGCTTGCATGGACTCTGCTGCTGTGTCTCACCAGTGGAAGGCCCAGCACAGCCAGCCCCGCCGAGGAAGGTAAACACTGGTTGTCTGCGATAGAGGGGCCTCGGGACTCTGTCCTTGTCACTGTACAATATGTGGGAATTTTCTTGTCAGCTAACATTATTACCATAATCAAACTGATTTCCCGTAGCTTGGGTCTTCTGTGGCTGTGCAGTTTTGTGCTATATAACAGGGAAGAGATGATAAACCATGGCTGTCTTCTCTTATTTTGTTCAGGGCTCATTCACATCATGTGCCATGTGAGGGCAATGCATTATTGTGTGTTAAAGTGACACTAAACTCAGGTAAAGTACAATTAAGCACTCGTTTGTTTTTGCATATATTTGCTGCTAGCAAGCAATAGATATATGCAAAAACATAAAAAGTTACCAAATAGGTAATTGCTTGCCTGTGCCACTGCCGCTCGCACCTGCCTGAAGATTCCCGAGCGGCCGTGAAAGATTGTGGGGCAGGCGCATGAACAGTAGAGATGTTCGGCCAGGAGAAGAGTGACACAGTGTAAGTTAATGCACGCAGCTGTGAGCGTACATGCGGACAGACACCGTGAGACACAGAAGATACAACAGTCAGCGCTGGATCAGAGACCGGCACCAGCACTGGAGGGACTCCTGAAAACTACTGGAGAGAAGAAGATGATCGGATCAAGAGGTATCATGTAAACTATACATGAGATTGTAGTCCATCACAGGAGTGAGCTTTGAGCGGTGGCTACATTACAAAGCACACACACACAGAGACCATGGGGAACAAAAGTAGCCACCCTCCAGAAGGAAGGACAGTGTCCGCATGAATTCAGAGATGATTTGAGGATCTACAGCCGAGTGATACACAAGTAAGATACATTTTTGTTAATGGTTAAGGTACTTACCGTGTTTCCCCGAAAGTAAGACCTACCCCGAAAGTAAGACCTAGCACTATTTTAGAGTTTAACTCCTTTGGGCTACCGCAGTGTTCTGCAAATTGTGGTGTTCTGCAGTGTGGGTGCATTGACTTCTACTATTTTGAAGGAATCTAGAGACTTTACAAAGTGTACCCTCCATTCAGGACTTTGCATAGCAGGGTGGTGTGCGTAGGCGACATCCAGTGCACTGCGGATAAATGCAGCATGTCTGCATTTTTCTGCACTGCACATCACACCAACATTTTAGTGTGAATGGGGCACTTAGAAAACCATCCTGTGTGCCTTGCCTTCGAGGAGTTTACAATCTAAGGTCCCTATCTCGCATGCATACACACACTAGGGCTGATTTAGATAGGAGCCAGTTGACCTATCAGCATGGCTTTTGAATGTGGGAGGTAATCGGAGAACCAGGAGGAGCCCATGCAGGCACTGGGAGAACATGTAAACTCCATGCAGTGTCCTGATCCGGATTCTAACCAGGGACCCCTATTACTGCAAGGCATACGTATGTGGGAAGGAAACCTAACTGTGTATTTTACTCCAACACAAAGATGTGAATGATTACCCAGTACCAGTTGTAGTGAGTCACATTGTACTGGACATATTCTGTACTGTTGAGCTGTGTGGAAATTTTTTTTTACTTGTCCAAGGACTAAAGCGGGGGCCAATCTATTTGTGCCTCATGACAATCTACTTGCCCTGACAAAAAAAAATAACATAACCGTATTTAGCCATGCTAAGAAGCGATTTTCATTGGTCAGTGCGGTCAGGTGACCGCGCTGACCAACGAGTGCTCACAATTTGCGAGCAAAATTCGAAATCCATGGTGCAGGGCTGCACTGGATGGCAGTATGGAGTACAGATAGTATACCTGTATCAGTGGAGGGGAAGGACTGTTCGCTAAAAGTATGGGGAGGGGGGGGCTGATTTGAGCAGGTAATTCCATTCTCCCAAATTACTTGGAAAAGTGAACTTACCTTGTAAATGTAAATTGTGTGTGTTAGAGTACTGCTGCCCAGCTACCACACTTTGGGGGCAGCACTCAACACACACACACAATGCCCTACGCATGTGTTTATTCGCATGCAGATGGCGGGGCGGCAGGCTTATTACAAGTGATCTCGGCGCCAGCACTGAGATCACCTGTACAATACAAGTGGCGGTTTCCCAAATGTAATGTTAGCCCTGATTGCCTGAAGCAGGGCTAAATGTAGAAAAAAAAACTACCTGCCCGGCGCCTGGAACTGCATGTCCCGGCCAATAGGAATTCCACACCCCTGAATGTTAATGATGTTTCTTAGCTTATCCAAGCCACTTCTTCAGTACTAGTTAGTGTTAGGAAAATACCCCCTTAATGTCGAACTACAAGATAATCGAAAAACTGACTGCAGCTTAACTAGTAAAACTACAATACTCTTTTCACTTAACGTATTTTTCGCTCCATAAGACGCACTTTTTCCCCCCCAAAAAGAGGCGGAAAATGTGCCTGCGTCTTATGGAGCGAATCCCAACGCCCGAGACATGCAGTTTCGGGCACCGGGCGAGTAGTAGGAGCCACTGCTCGTTTAATACGAGTGATCTAATGAGATCACTCGTATTAAAACCGAGCAGCGGCGACGATGGAGATCACCATAGAGCAGACGAAGAACGGACATTCTTCGTCTGCTCTGTGTGATCACTGAGACCGTGGCGCTGTAATCACAGCGCCACCTGTCTCAGCGGTCACTAACTGCAGCTTCTGTCACAGCTTCTGTCATAGAAGCTGTGTCAGAAGCTACAGTCTGTCGAGTGCTCCATAAGGCGCGCCAGACTTCCCTGCGTCCTATGGTCCGGTGCGTCTTATGGACCGCAAAATACGGTATATGTGTGTTAATCGTTTTGAGTCTTGTACTAGCTGAAACTATAGTGTGACGCCACAGGATTTCAGAACAGCTGCGCCCCAAGTTAGTGATTCTTTCCTAGCTCCACCTCCCAGCACTGCCCAGGTCATTGCCGCTTTATGCAAATAAAGAAAATAATTATGGGGAACCTGTAGTTTTCCTAGGTCTTTCAGGTACAACATGGAAGAAAGAACAACACAAAACAACCTTTCAACCAATGAAAGGTCCAAAATATTCTACAGATCAAGTATCAGCAGTTATCCTACACCTTTTAAGGCCTTGTTCACACCAAGCGCGTTCCAGGAGCAGAGCAGATCAGTTGCAGACCGGATCAAAACTGCGTCCAATGTATTCCAATGGTATTTTGGGCTCTAGTTCACACCGCAACGTTCAGTTCCAGAGCATGTAAAAAAACTGCAGCAAGCCCTATTTTACCTGCTCTGGAACGCATGCAAACGCATCAAAAACGCATGCAAACGCACTGAAAGCCCATTCTAAACTTTTTTAAAATATTTTATTTTTTTATACCAAAACGGCCCAGAACGCATCAAAAACGCAACACAACCAACTGCACTGCGTGTGCAGAAACGCATGCAGATCTGGTCTGCATTTGGTGTGAACAAGGCCTAAGGAAAATTCTTTCACTGACAAATGAGGTGCACATAATGGACAGAGATGACAACTTGTTTGTAAAAGAGACCACCTACGTCAAACTAAAACAACCTTCCTTAACTGGGGTGGGGGTCTTCAACACCATCTCTCTTCAACATACAATGCTATTTTAACATCTCTACCCAGGCGATTTGACAATTCACACCTTCAGCCATTTGGATTAAAGGAGAACTATGAGGTGAGTGCTTTTCACTCACCTCATAGTTCTAGCCGACCTGTGACAATGAGACTGTCACAGGTTGGCTCAGTAGATCGTGAAGTGAGCGAACACATACTAGCGTTTGCTCACCTCTCGATCTTCTCACGACTCTCTGCCGTGACAGGGGAGGGACTGGATTCCCCCCTCCCCTCTCCTCCAGCGCTGACTGGCGGAACGGACGGGGGAGGGGGCGGGTACAGCTGGCTCTGCCTCTAGATAGGCAGAGCCAGCTGTCACTCACGCAGCTAGGCGGATCTAGACCTAATTGTCGGGATCGGCTGCGGCGTCTCAGTATACCGCGAGCTACAGCTCGCGGTATACTGAGCTTAGGGTGACGCGAGGACGCTAGTTTGTGTCCTCCCGTTACCCTAAGGGAACTATGGGGAAAAGCCCTAACCCCATAGTTCTCTAACACTTTTGCATGCATCGTTACACCAAGCATGGGATTATGTAACTAAGAGTGGGTGTTCCACAACTTGACCACCTCCCATCCTGTTCTTGGACAATCGGCATCTTCCTTGACACATTTCTTGGTTATTAGATTAAGGGGTCTGTGCTACCTGTGTAGATATACATTTTGGGGTATGTTTCCAGACACTTATAAAAACAGACATGTAAATGGTTAAACACATAACACCAAATCTTGCATGGGGCAAAACATAGTCCAACCTACTTATTCAGTCTTTCCCATGAACCCCATCCTTTTCCTTTTCTTTTACAGGTGCAATTTGTTACATCAGAAATCTACATCTTTTTGTAAACATTGGGGGGAATTTATCATGGCAATTGTGAGTGTTTGAACATGCACAGAATATATTTGATGCACTTTGCACCAGATTTATGACGCTAGTGTAATGTTGATAAATGAGGTTTAATAGACTCCAGGAAAGAAGACTTGTAACTCCAGGCAAAAAGCTTACCTGTCGCTTCTTGAAGAAGTGGTCATGGGGACTTCTTAAGTAGCGATTGTTTTGTTAGGTGATGCTCCAGTTTCAGACAGCCGCAGAACTAGTGCAGATGAAAACAGGTGCAAAAAACATGCAGTTGAAAAAGTAGTGTAAGCCCAGGTGAAAACAGGGTTAAACATGTTAAGACGATTTGCACATAAGAAAAATTATCTAAGAGGCTAAAACTGTCGCAATTGCTTTGATTCCCTCCCAATGTTTTTTCCAGTGGCACCCAAAGCACCACTTCCATAGGCTGTAACTGACAGCTCACGAGGCCGTCAATTGCAAAACATGAGCTGACCTTCTGCGTCCACAGATCACCCACCTCCCTGATGTCACTGAGCAGGTGTTGGCCTTCCTCCCAGTACCAGAATAGCCCCACTGGCAGCCGTGGACTTTCGTTTTCTTTACGT